ACAACACGAGCATCATGAAGCAAACAGAGCAAGAGGACTACGACAACCACAGCAGCCCACTCCACAACAAATAGCAGAACACAACCTTACACATCTACCATACAGAAACTGGTGTCCAATTTGCGTTCAAGGCAAAGGACGCCAAGACAACTACAAGAAAAAAAACAATCACGACAACCTGTCATTCAAATAGACTTTGCCTACATCAAGTCACAACAAGACCCAAAGACCACACCGGTACTGACAGCAGTTGATGTTACTACACAACTGTGTATGGCAGTATTGGTTCCAGACAAAGCATCAATGATGGACTACGTGGTCAACAACCTACAAGCATTCATCTTTGAGTGCGGAAGAACACAAGGCATACTACAAAGCGACAACGAAGACACACTCAACGCACTTCTAAAAGCTACAGCAGCAAAAGTCGGCACAATGAGTGTACGACATTCACCTTCCTACAGCAGCAACAGTCAAGGACGCGTTGAGCGACTACATAGAACACTTCTCGGACAAATCCGCGTCGTCAAAGCTCAGGTTGAAAGCAACTACAGCATGACGATGTCCACAAAGCACTGTCTACTACCTTGGATAGTACGACACGCAGCATGGACGGTAAATCGCTACGTCATTCACTCAGACGGCTACACAAGCTTCGAACGCCGCTGGGGAAGAAACTACGAGCGAGCAATCTGCGATTTTGGCGAGACACTACTCTACCTTCCACCACAACACAAGAAACTCCCAAAAGCAGACCTACGGATGCAGAAATGCATCTGGCTCGGAAAAGTTTCCGAAACCGGAGAAAACTACGTCGCAACGGAATCAGGCGTACAAAAGGTACGAACAGTACGGAGACTACAACCTGACTTCAAATACGACCTCGCACTGTTGAACAAAGTTTCCGGCACACCATGGGCACCACGACGGAACACCTACAACCCTTCGTTCGCAACACTGTTGGATACGCAACTACAACCGTCAGAGAAAAGAAGGTCCACGCAAGACTTCGGACAACAAACGAATGCGACGGACGACATCGTTGCAGAACCCGCAACAAAACAACAACGCACTACACCACCTCCACGACTTCCGCCCACATCGACGTCAAGTTCACGACCACTACCGGATAGTCCTATGGCTATTTCACCAACTGGACGACAACATCCACCACTACCAGCACCACCTCGACAAACCCTACGACGCTTAACTCCGGAAGAAGTAATGCAACCAACTAAAGCACAGAAGACCTCAAAGGACACTACAATCAGATCAACGGAACAAGCAACCAAAGAACCACCACCACTACGACAGAAAATCAACGCAGTGACACTTCCCAACGGAAAATCCATCACTCCCTAAACAAACGACGACACCTCAGAAGACCAACCCATAATCTTCGACAACGAAGGTTACGACGAAACACAACTACTGGAAGGAATGAAACACGAGTCAAACCAAATGAAACTACACGACGTCTACGACGAAGTAGATGCGTCTACCGTCGACGACAACGTCATCAGAGAAGCGATACCTACAAGATGGGTACACAGAAAGAAAGGACCAGGAGTACGAAGCCGAATCGTCGCAAAAGGCTACACAGAGAAAGATCGAGGACGAAGACTCCGTCTACGCCTCTACACCAATGTTCACGACACTCCGGACACTTCTCGCACTACAAATGTCACGACCAAACTGGATAGCGCGACTAGGCGACGTCTCTACAGCATTTCTACACGCAACCATCGCAAAAGACCACGACGGTAAACAACGTGACGTCTACCTTTGGCCACCTAAAGAACTCTGTCCACAACAGGACAAAATCTGGCGACTAAAGAAAGCCATGTATGGACTACGCAGTTCACCAAAAGCATGGCAGGACTACCTGGCTGAAGTGTTACAAAAGCTCAGCTTTGTAAGACTAACGTCTACACCAATGCGACTCGCGACTGCTACATCATGGTCTACGTGGACGATCTACTGGTACTTGGAGACAAGACTGCGGTCAACTCCATGTTCAAGGCCGTCCAGAAATAGGTCCTACTCAAGCACATCGGCAACCTCGAACCTGGCAAACCACAACAATTTCTTGGAAGAAACATCGACCACTTCGGCAAATTTCTGCAACCTTGGACTAAAGGACTCCTACATCGACAACATGATCGAGGAGTCTGGAATGACCAACTGCAACACAGTGACCGCTCCAGGAATCGCCCACTACAAACCAACAATAGAGGATGAAGCGCTTCTTGACCACGAACAACACAGAAGGTACAGAAGGATTGTTGGCAAACTTCAATGGTTAGCACACACACGACCAGACATCGCATACTCTACAAAAGAACTGGCACGAGACCTCACAGCGCCTACAGAACTTTCACAAAAGAGAGTCAAACATTTACTACGCTACTTGCACGGCGCCAAGCGCTACAAATTCACCATAGAACCAACAACAACACTCAGAGCAAACACCAACAACATCCTGGATCTCGACGTTCATGTCGATGCCGACTGGGCAGGATGCCCTACTAAAAGGAAATCAACTTCAGGTTTCAACATCATCTTTCTAGGAACAACAGTTGCGTTTGGCAGCAGAACGCTAAGCTACAATAGCACTCAGCTCAGCAGAGTCTGATCTCTACGCCATTTGCGCAGGAGTTAATGACGGACTACACCTCAGAAACTTCCTACTTGAAACCAACATTTGCAGCAAGCTAAACCTACGCATCCACACAGACTCCACAGCAGGCAGGAGCATTGCTACACGACAAGGCACTAGCAAACGAGCAAAGCGCATCGACCTCAAATTTCTCTACACACAAGACCTCATCAAACACGACATCATCAGAATCCTTAAGATCAACACACTTCACAACAGCGCAGGTTTGTTTACCAAATACATCAGCAAAGAAACACTACACAGGCTCATCCAGAGCATTGGGATACACATTTAGCACTACGAACGACCAGTGCAACAGTTTCACAACAACAACAACAACAACAACGACTTTGGACATTTCTTGTATGTACGTAGCTACATGTAACACGACACCTTTGGTATGTAAGTAACAGTAACTACATGTATTTCCACTTGCACTTTTGGCGGCTGAGTCAACACTACAGCTGTTTGTTTTACATGTCTGCATGCGCCGCCTGCCTGATAGCTACTACTCAAACTCATTTTGTTTTTTGCCCCGTTTCACTACATTTTGCATTCCACTGCAGCCATGGCCGCTCCATCTACTGCAGATGCTACGATGGGAGATGCAACTACGCCTGACAGGGCGACTACACCGCAGGTGGCGGTCCCTACAGACTCCAGTGACCAAGGAACTCCACCCCCTCAGACCTACAACGAGTCCAACTACCGCTTCACTGACTCCACGCCTGGCAACACGGCTTACTACAACCCGGCAACTGGCATGGACCAACTACACATCACGGAGTACCAGGCAACCAACACTCCCTACACTCAGTTTTTTTCTCACTGCACTTACACTGGAAGAGTATCAACTGCTCTCACCACAACAAGCAACTCCACTTTCACAACTGGACTACACACGATCCATTCACTGCATCCCTGGAGACCTCCGGATGCCTCACTACAATTCCACACTGCTCAGCGTTTCGCTACCTGAAGCAGCCAACGTCCACTACTACCACGCGACTTCACTCCACACTACGACTGGCAACAACACCAACTACGTCATCATCCAACTACAGGTACCTCACTTCAGGACAATTTCTCCACTTCACCAGAGACTACATTTCCTACATGATGCCAGTACAACAGAACTACCACCTCCCAACTACACAACATCCACAAACCATCTACCAGGTGGACTACAACGTGACCACCTTCACCGACAACTACAGCCTGAGGAATAGCTACATTTGGAACTATCACATGCCACTACTTCTACCGGAACTACTCCACTACCTCTACAACCGCGACCAACTCCACGACTTTCAACACAAGGCCATCACTACCATCCTTTGCAAGAGCACCCAGTACTATGGTTTTACACTACTCACCATGACCAACCTTACCCAACACCACAAAGCACTACTACATCGTTTCCTTAGGGATTACGACCAACATATGTCGTGCCCTGAGATAGACGATGAGAGACTACGAGGCGCTCCAAACTACATGACAACCTTTTTCACCACCCACTACTACGCGACCTTGGACAGTCGACGAAAAACGGTCCAAGCCTACCGCGCCCAGAACTGGGCACTACATGCTTGAGCTCCTGCTCTACAATGAGTAACTGCCTCACGAATTCCATCCAGCGCCACTACATCGAGCTGGAACATGAACAGCGTGAACTACTGAGTGCAGGTTACTACCTTTTGCCACTACAGTAGAATTGATGAACAACAATGATTTTCATCACTACTGTCAATCCATGTCTTGCACTTTAGTTGAAAAGGTACTACAAAGACCTTTTAACTGAGGGGCCGTGTCAAACTACATGCTTCACTTCCTGCGTTTGTGTTGCATGTATGTTCACTACTGCAGGCCTTGAGCTCACTACATTGCATGAGTCAAAAGGTTGGCAGCTGCAGACTACATTGGTTGACTTTTTGTTTGAACGCTACAGCACTTGCACTTGTAAGTAAAAGTCGCAACCGATTTTAGCGTTTCTCTCTTTCTCTCTATCCGTCCATCCGTCCATCTGTCCTTCCGTCCCTCCGTCCATCCGTCCATCCGTCCATCCATCCATCCGTCCATCCATGATCATGATCATGACCATTGTCTTCTGGATTTTCTTCTTTTTCGTTCTTCATCATTTGGGTTTGATTTATGATTGTTTTGTGCTCACCCTCTTTAGCCTCGTCTGGAAAACCGCTGGTGGCTTTGACTCGATCTTCAAGCTTCTGATTGCTTTTGCGTTCTTCGTGTGTGCTTTGTTTTTCCGTGTGTCTCGAACCTTTGCTTCGGTCCCTACGCCTCACGCCTTTGTTGCCTCTCCTCGCGACTGCATTTTACTCAGGAGACGGCAAGGGCTGGTCCGGTGGCAGCACCAGACCTGATGGCGAGGCCAGGCGTGTTAGTCTGTCCATCCTCTCTCGAACTCGGGAGACTCGGAGGCCAACCAGCCTGCAAACATCAAGGAGAAGCGACCCAAGGTCTTCCTAGAGGTGCGCACCTGGAGACTCGAGTGTTGCAGTGCATATGTTGTGTGCGTTCGTCGAGGTCGAGCTGCACAAGCGCCAGCTGGGTCGCATCGTCCTGGAGCTTTTCGGGGACGTGGTCCCCAAGACGGTGGAGAACTTCCGCTGCCTTTGCACGGGCGGCGCCCTGAGTGCCGGTCCCCGACCTCGACGCCGATCGACCTCGACCGACTCCGTCCGACTTCGTCCGACTCGAGGTGAGAAGGGCATCAGCGCAGTCTCTGGCAAGCCGCTGAGCTTCAAAGGGAGCAGGCCAGGAACGGCCAGGAACGGCCAATGGCCAGGATGCGGACGAAGGGTATTGGATGCGGACTTTTTCCCCTGCAGGTTTCACAAAATCATTCCAGGCAAGATCATACAAGGCTGGGTGCAGATGCGTTGGTTTCTTTGCAAGTTGCGTTGACCTGCTCAGGTGGTGACATTACAAAGGGAGATGGATCAGGGGGTGACTCCATCTACAATCAGGACAACATTTAGGCTTCCCCAAGCTTCGTCTTGAGTCCCTTTTTGGCTTACATGCAGGATGGAGATGGTACCTTTGGATGTGAAAACTTCAAGGTGAAGCACGATAGACCCGCCCTCGCCTGCGCCCAGACTCATAATCTCTTCAATTGGAATGTGCTGTTTCAAGGTCTCCATGGCACACAAACGTGGCCAAGAAGGTAAGAACTGCTCGCAGTTCTTCTTCACCTCCAAGGTGAGCCAGACTGAAACAGCGAGCTCAGATGAGATGAAAGCCACAGGGAGATTACTCTGCGCAGTTTGCTCAACAGGCGGAGCCCAAGCTGGATGGCAAGCACACCGTGTTCGGGCGGGTCATTGAAGGCCTTGACAAGCTGTCCAAGGCAAGACACGAGACACGCGCTGAGAGCATGTCGTGAAATGTGTCCTTTTCGTTTCTCAGAGCTTCTGGCTTTGCTCAGCTCGAGTCTATGGGCACGAAGGGTGGAACTCCTCTCTTTGAGGCGCGTGTCAGTTTCATTTGGTTCGGTCGGCAGTCGCGGCTTCAGTTTGAAGGCAGTCATCTCGGACTGCGGCGAGCTCGAGTCGGCTTGCATGGGCGCCCGCAAGCGGAAGATGGAGCAGGCCCGGCAAGGTGACATAGGTGACTCAAATCTTCGGAAGCCCCAAGACTTTTAAGTGGGAAGGTGCCATTGCCTCCGGGCTGGAAGCAGAAGGAGTCCCGCTCCAAGGTGAGCCCCCTCTCTTCCCTTGGCTTTGGCTTCATCCAGTGCAGAGCTTGCCGTGCTTTCTTTTTTTCTTCAGCTGGATGTTTTTCTCCCCAAATCAGGGATCTTTGTTTTGGTGTTTAGCAGGAAGCCGGGGAGGGAGAAGCCAGAGGTGTTTGCTGTTGCCACGCAGCTCAAAGGGAGGGGCGGGCCCGGCATGGCAAGCCTCAAGGAGCCGCTGCTGCCCAACAGGCCTGGGCCTCCGGGCCTCCGGGCCTCCGGGCCTCCGGGCCTTCGGCTCGATCTCGCTTGAGAGCTCGATCTTGCGAGCGCTTGGCTTGGCGTCAGGAATGTCGTGCCGAAGGCCGTCAGGCGCCGGTGTTTTGCATTCTCTTGGGCCCTGCCCCAGGGTGCGAGCGCAGTCCAGACTGCACTCGCCTTTGCCGTCTTCATTGCCGTTAGAAGTTTCCATCCAGTGTGAGCCTCATGCCTCGCCCATGCTATGCCCATGCCATGCCCATGCCATGCCCATGCTCAGATCATCATTGATATCTCAAAGACGGATGGCAAGCTTCCATACGGCAAGGCTGGGTGGCAACGCATTGCGCACCCTGAATCTACAATGAGAACATGCTAGGCCACCCCATGCGTGGTGAATTCGGCTGTTGACATTGCCATTGGTGCAGCTGGCCCGCTTGTTGTTTCCGGGTGTTGAGATCAAGTTGAGCACTTCGCCACGCTGGCTCAAGACCAATGAAGGGGAAAAGCGCAGAATGCGCTATCCTAGAATTTGAATTGCAAGAGCTGCGGGAGGAGCTGCGCAGTTATGACCAGCAGCTTCCTTGCTGGTCGGCTGAGGTGGCAGCTGCGGAAGCTTGGGCAGAACAACTAGAGCAAGAAACAAAGGAAGATAGGTCTCACTCTGAGTTTGCAGCGGCCAGTTTCGGAGGGATTTCGCCAGCCAGCAGTGAAGGTGAGCGAGACTACGCGGAGGCACAGGCGCACGAAGTGGGCTTTGTGACGGACAGCCATCCGCTGCATTTCGCGGGCCACGCGAGCCATGCGCGGCATGCGGCGCTGAGTGCGGAGCTGACCCGGCGGGAGTCGTCCACGCGCTTCCTGCGCCAGGCCAGCGCGCGCGTGGCCTCGGAGGCCGTCGGCGCCGCGCGGGCGGAGGCCGGGGAGCTGCGGGCGGCGCTGGCGGAGGCGGAGGCGGAGGCCGCGGCGCTGACGGCGCAGCGCGAGGCCGCTCAGGCCCAGGAGGCGCCGCTGCGCCAGTGGGTGGCGAACGTGGAGGCCCAGGTGGCCGAGGCCCGGCGCGAGAATGCGCGCTTGGCCGGCGCCCTCACCAACGCCCTGGCCTTCCAAGAGGCGTCCTTGGCCGAAGAAGTCGGAGTTGGTGGAGTCCGAGGCGTGGACCCGGTGCGCCAGGCGCAGGTCCGAGCTCGGAAGGCAAAGCTCCGGGAGGAGATCGCTGCGGAAGAGCGGCGCCGGGACCAGTTCCTCCGCGAGGCTGCATTGGCCTCGGCCTCGGTCGCCTCCCCGCCCCGGGCCCAGCCAAAGGCGCTGAGCCCGAGCCCCACGCGCGTGGCCCTGCTCTATTCCAGTCCCGCGAGGTCCGGCTCTGACGCAATAGAATCCCTGGAGCACAGCGACGATGACCTGGAATACTGGAGCAGCGGTTGGGAAAGTGAGAAACAAAGCTGATGGAGCCTTGAGCATGTTTTGATCAAGTCAGAGTTGAGCGGTAGTCTTGAAAGCCACAACAACCAGCTGCCAGTGCGGCATGGTGCTACAACGATGTCAGGCAACACACTGGCACTGCTCTTCGGAGGAATGGATGGCTTGAAGCAGTGCTGGGACCCGGTGCCACTGAAGGCATGCGCTTGACTAGCGGCAAGACATGTCGTGTCTCTGCATCTGACCCAGATCTTCAGTGCCATTGCGGTGGTGTATGCATTTGGTGCCCTGGCATTCAGTGTCACCGTAAAACCCCTTCACCATCACTCGACACGAGCTAAGGAGACTTTCTTGAGATGCAGTCAATGGCTGTCATGGGGGGTGCTGCGTCCAACACTCAGAAGACTCAAGCAAGGACCAGCAACGTCTCGTGCTTCATGCAACTCATGAAACTCATGCTGGAAATGTGCAGGTATCAGATCTTGCTTCAGAGCAAGTTGCTTGTCACAGCCCTCATCATGTGGGGCCTGCGCGGCCAGCGCCAAACCACTCTGCAGTGGAATGTACTAGGCAGGGTTGCTGGGGGTTGCTGGGTTGCTCAGCGTTCCAGACAAGATCAGCTCCAATGCTTGGTCAGTGGAGTAGCGGGTTGCACTCAGCGCTCTGATCATGTCGACTTTGGCGATGATGTCATACACAAGTTACACAAGCCTTTAAGCCGAAGCAAACTCTTTCATGGAAATCAGGGAGATTGGTCTTGTTCGCTGCCTGCCCACGGTACAGTGTTTGGACGCGAGCCACTGTTCAGGGGAAAAGAGAAGATCCTAAGCTTGTTCCTGCTCTTTGATTTGAGCATGCAACGCCTTGCTTTGTGAATACTCTTTGCTTTTCTTGCCAGTCACCATCGCCCTGGGCATGAGCGCATTCGTGCTGTCAGAAGACAGCAGCGACGAGGCATGAGCCTGTTGTTTGTGCAAGAGAGCATACTCGAAGGACGTGTCGCGTGCGATGGAATGCACATCTTACTGCAGCCCATGAAGAAGCCAGAAGGTAAGACACAGACTCCAACTCACACTGGGGGCTTGAGACAATTGAGCTCAATTCGGAAGCACTTCAACGCGTTTCTGTTCGAAGCTTGGCAGTTGGCTTTCAAAAGTCGACTCATGCGGTCTTTGCCTACAAGTGAAAGCAAAGGGAGCAAACCAAGCGGCAGCCGCCCTCGTCTTGGCCATGGATCCCCGCGCGCGTTTGGAAGCGTCGCTGGGTCTTCACCAGGCCAAGATCGAGACGCTGCGTCAGCTGGAGAGCCGCCTGGATGCCCGTATCGCCCGGCTTGGCGAGCTGAGCGTGGCTGCGAAGATGCTCATCGACTCCATCATGGCCAACCCCTTCCTCGCGCAGCCGCCCGAGCCCGAGCCGCCCGAGCTGCTCCAGCCCGAGCCGGACGCGCCCGAAGAGACAAGCGGGATCCGGACAGACGGCGACAGGGCGAGCCCGGTCGCCAGAGGTGGCCGGAGCGCGTCTCGGCTCGTCCGCAGGTCGGTGTCTTGGATGAGCGAGCCACACGAGGAGGTACCTTTGCACCACAAGGAGGACATGACGATTCCTGCTCATGGGCACTGGGTGCCCACGGATGTGCTGGAACGGCGGTCCTCTTTTCAGGGGCAAGCTGCGCAAAAGCTTGGCGGCAGACAAGTGGAACTGCAGGCTGGAAAGCTAGGTTCTGTCTCTTGTATCTTAGTCGAACCCATGGGGAAGCTTCTGAGTGCAGACTTCATAAGCACTGGTGTCACTATTCTTTTTCAGGGTCGTCGCCCTGACAAGCCAGACAAGAGCATGGATGAATGGGTTCAAGTGCTGAAGCGAACCAAGCTGCTAGATGCGGGGGTGTCTGTGGCCTTGCCTGACATTGCGGAAGAGGTGGATTTGCAGGACCTGCATTGCCTGGTGGACGCCATCATGCAGGCCTGCCACGCGGAGCTGTGCATTCTCTGCGGCAAGGCGGGGGGCGCTCTGAAGGCCGTGGAGGTGGCGGGCCGCGATGGCCGCGATGGCCGCGTGGCGGGGGCGATCCTGCTGGCGCCCACCCAGCCGCCGCCCGTGGTGGTCTTCGGGGGCCCGGTGATGCTGGTCTGGGCGCAGGACGACAAAGACGCGCCCTTCGCACAAGCCGAGGCCTGGGCCCAGGCCCTGGCCGCCCGACAAGGCGTGGCGGTGCTGCGGGCCCCCGAGCAGGGCGGCCACGACCTGGCGCGGCTCTTTCGCAAGGACGAGAAGGCAGGGAGCACGGATGGAGAAGACGGACTCTGAAAGGAGCCAAGGAAGACGGGCTTTGAAATCGAAGCGAGTTCAAGGGTTTGCCGAGAGCGAGAGAGAGAGAGGGACGTAGATGAGTCCCCGAGTCTTGACTGTCATTCTATTGGTACCCTTTCAGACCCTGAGGCAGCCACAGATGTGCTTGCCTTTGTGGCCGCGGTGCTGCTCATTGCAGAGCTCCGAACGGGGCCCCGGGAGTCCGAGGCTGGACCCGTTCCGACAGGTCCGAAATCCAATTCAAAAGTGAAACTGCCCTCTGTGCACGCTGTCTTCGCATTTTTCTGGTGATATATGGGCTGTTTCAGGAGAAGCATACAAAGAACCAACTATGTTTTTCACTCTTTTCCAACGAAATGCAAAAAGCCTCGAAAAACCAAGCAAACAAAAAGTGTCAAGACTATGCCCCGCAAGTCAGGACAACTGACATGGTGTTGCTTCTTCTTCTGTTTGTGTTTTTTTTGTTTGTTTAGATGCTTACTGATTTGTAGGTGCACGTCTGTTGGACGTATTTCTTCCGTATCATTTATTCTGAAATAGAGTACTCATGATTTAAAGTCTACTTTGAAATAGACATTCTGGTTGTTTTTGTTGTTGTTTGTATTCTTATTAATGTCTATTTAATTTCAATTAGACATACTCAATAATCCAGGACCCCTAAGCCCCCATTGGCATGGTAGCGTGTCACGCATGTTGAGGCTTGTTAGGATTCAAGCATCGAAGAAGGTAAGTCTAAGTCCGCTGAAATCAAGGAATCCAAGGAACCTGAACTGAGGACTTAACGTCTAACTCCCCGATTCGGGGCGCTGCCTCCAGCGCCTCTGCCGCCTAGTCTCCTCCCCGGGACATGTCCTGCTAAGGCTTCTCGCTGCCGTTCGCACAGTCCCTTCTCACCTGTAACTCTTTGCAGCTCCAGCAAACCGCCGCGGTACTTCGGATCCGTGCAGTAGAAGGCAGTTCTCTTTTTGAGTGTCTCCGGCATGTTGCAACTATCATCTATGCAGGCTTTGGCAAGCGAATTGCTGGACCACTCTTCGCGAGAAAAAGTTGTTTGACCACTCTGCCCGGCACGTTAGGCAAAAAACCACCAAAACATCGGCTCTGAGAGGCGATGCGTTTAGCAAATCCACCAAAACTCGGAGTGCCAAGGTTGCAATATTGTCTATGCAGGTTTGTGCAAATCATTTGTGTCCTCTGCGGGGCATGTTGCGTGTGCTGCTGCGCTGGCATCTCTCGTTCGTTGCCTGACAACACATGCTTGCTACATGCGGTCTATGCTGGGAGAAACATTTCGATTAGAATGATTCTGTTTAACATGACAGTTTCACAGTATGTTGTTCTCAATCGAATATCTGCACACTGCAGCTAACATGTAAACACACGTTATGAAAACATGGTTCAACCCGAAATTCCACTCCAAACGCGAAACGAACGCACGCGCACAGCGTCCCGGTCCTTTTTTGGGTGCGTGTGCGCTCAAAGTGCGTCCAGGCCCGCCACCGGGGTCGGGTGCTGCGGCTGCTGGAGGAGCTGCCGCCCTTCTTGGCGTCGCGCCTGGCGCGGCGGACCATCGACCCGCTGGACCACGAGGACTTGGCGCGCCTGGCAGAGCAATTGGACTCGGAGGCCACGGCCGCGGCCTTGGCCGAGTGGATCGACTCCGACATGCCCTGCGGGGCCACGGCTTCTGAGTGAATCCAAGCCGTGCCAAGCCGTGTCGTTTCACGCCTCGTGGGCACCCAGCCTGTGAGACACGCCATGTCAATGTTTCCTCGTGACAATGCGCTCGTCCATGTCTTAACTGGAGGGGTACAGTCTACCCCGGAGCTGCCAATTGCAGGGCAGCTTTCAGCCCATCGGCCTGCTTTTTGTGGTGGCCAAGGCACGCTTTGGGCCTTCGGGCTGTGGGAGAGGTGGGGTGAGGGGGTGAGTGAGGGCTTCGCGCACTTTTTTAAGGTCTTCTTCTCCTGCCTTTGCGCAGTGCTTGCCGAGAAACATTTGAAGGCCCGAGATTTGCAAGTGCACTGACGACTGACAGCCTCAGCAGCCATCAGGCCTTCAAAGAAATGCCCATATACGCTCAGGCGGATATGAAGGAATCAACTGCTTCTAGTAAGATAATATTGCTTGATGTTACTTGTGTTTTCTTGACTTGAGAGGTCGCGCAGCTGAAGATTGCTTGGCTGGTGACTTCGCTGCTGCTGACTCTTTTGTTTGACCGCCTGGGCCTTGAGTGAGCCTCGGCACCTGTCAACTCCGTCCGCTCCAGGGAACGTGCGGGAGGACGGCTTTTGGAGCGGATGGGATAGCCGGACGATTGTGGTCGCAATCTCTTGGCACGGCACTCGGATTTTGATCGCTATGTGCAAGTGCCTCCTTTGCCCTTCACACGAGCGTATCCCCAACATATATCATCACGTGCAAAGAGAGTTCTTCTGGCTTCTGGCGGCTCAACGAAGATCCACATGTTCTTATGACGTTTTTTGGCGGATGCTTGTTTAATACACGATGACTGCAGGACGACTGTATGTTACAATGCACGTTCCATTTCAAGCATTGGGGTTCCATAGGTCTCTTTGCTATACAGCAGTTTGAGAAGAAAGTGGGGCTCCATTTTGGACGCAAGCTTCATGAGCACAGTGTACATGCCAATGCAAACCCAGAGACACCCAGGATAGAGAGTGATGCTGCGCGTTTGCACTCATGGCACCTGCACGGCACAGGGCTCCAAGGCCCTGCTCTCGGATCTGGAGGATCTTGGTGAAGTGCTGCCCATCACTGCCCAAGCGAGCGCTTGCTTGGGCCTCTGCGGTCAAGGACCCAATTGCCTGGTGACAGTGCCAACCGGCGCAACCGGCGCAACCGGCGCAACTGGCGCAATCGGCAGAAGCCAGGCCTTCAACCGCCTGAACTCCTTCGAGAAGGTCGTCTCCCTGCTGAAGCGCCTGGGTTTTCCCAGCGTTGCGGAGGAGGTGCTGCAGAGGGCGCGGCTGAAGTCGGATGCCCTGCGGCTGTTGGCACAGAGCCCCTTCCGGCCACAGCACACCGTGGAGGACATGCGGGAGGCCATCCGCTTGCTGTCGGAGGCGCTGGAGCTGCGAAAGGACCGCCCGGCGCTGCTGCTGCTCCGTGGCCGGGCCTTTGGTCGTCTTTGCCTCGCGAAGCCTCAAGAGACTGAGACGAATGAGACGAATGAGGCTGCTGAGACGAAGAATGAGATGGACGCCCGGAGCGCGGCTTTGGCGCTGGAGGACTTCCGGGTTGCGGCGCACGAGGCGACGGCGCTCAAAGCGGATGCCTTGGCGGAGATGGGCCACGTCTACGCCTTCCAGGGGCAGCAAGCACAGGCGGTGGAGGCTTACAAATGGGCCATGAAGCTGACTGCAGGCCGGGAGGCGGCGAGGCTGCAGCGACGCATCCAGCGGCTGCAGATGGGAGGGGCACTGAGCGATGGCAGTGGCCTGTGGAGGGTGGATCAAATTACTGGTGTGTCGCCCGACTCCTGCGTGTACCACCTCACCGCAACGCCTGGCAATGTTCACCCTTGTCCTGAAAGCGCCTGGCATGTTCAGGTCATTCATGGCTCCATCTCAAGAGATTACACGCCAATCTCATCTGTGGCTGGGTGGGAAAACGGCCGCATGGACCTCCTGGTCAAGACTTACCCTGACGGACAGGTCTCCAGATTCTTCGGGTCGCTATTGACAGCAGAGGAAGCAAAGGAGGCTTGCCTGCAGAACTACGCGCCCCTGGAGGAGCAAAATTGCTGGGTTCGCGTCTCTGCTCCTCTTGAGACACTGCCATTGGATTGGTTCGACTGCGCGCAGCTGGGGATTGTGGCAGGCGGAACAGGTGTTGCCCCAGCTCTCCAGGTGCTCTCGGCCCTGTTTGGTGCGAATGACGCCGAAGGAAAAGACGCACAAGACAGAAGCGAGGAAAGCGCTCGCAGTTTGTCCGTGTCCATGTTGTGCTCGGGCCGGGAGGCCCTGCTGCTGCCGCAGCTGCGCGCGCTGCAGGCTGCGGCAGGGGGTCGTTTGCGCGTGCTGCACACGCTGACGCGCGATCGGGCCGCCGCCCCGCTGCGGCTGGGCCATCGGCGCTTCGTGCCGGCGCTGGAGCCCACAGAGGCGGAGGCGCCCTTCCGGGGCCGCGTCGACATGGAGATGCTGCGGCACCTGAGCCAGTCGAGCCGGCTGTTGGTGTGCGGCCCGCAGGGCTTGCTGGCTGCGGTGGAGGCGGCGCTGCTGTCTTTGGGCCACGCCAAGGACCACATTCTGCTGCTGCAGGCCACAGCCACAGGGGTGCGCCCTCAGAGTGAGGAGAGCGACAGCGTCTCAGTGGACACGCTAAATTCGGATGCCGATTCTGATGCAGAGGCACCTTTCAAGGCAGGGCCTGTTCCTAGCATTGCTGTCTCACCTCCTACCATTTCCGTCTCACCGCCTACCATTTCCGTCTCACCGCCTTCCCAGCTCGAAGATTCCAAACCTGGAGATGTGTTGAGGGCACAACTCGCAGCGCAAGGGGGCCAGGGGGCTGCTCTCACCTTTGCTGACAGAGTTCGCCAGGCGAGTGAGCAAAATGCTTGCACACACACACACAATCCACAAAACGGTTCAATTCGCGCTCCAGGGTCTGCAAAGGGTGGTCGACCTTCTACGTCCTCAAGACCCTGGACTCTGTGCTCAAAAACATTGGCGAGGCGCACCACGCAGCACTGCACCCACATTGCCTGTTTGAGTGGAATACGTTTCTTGCTTCTAACAATGTGTGGTTTGCACACCGGTCGAGCTTCTGCCGCATGCCATCATCGAAACCTTGGACTTATTCTGTCAGAGGCCGCGGCAATCCTGGTGATTTACATCTTCGACGTGCTTGTTGCAGATGCGGCCCTACCCTTATCCCCTATTCTAAGACGTATTCCGGCAATTCGTCGAGTGGCTTCGGCCCGGAGGTCTCAGACATTTTGCCCGTGCACGGCAAAGACTTCCACATCGCCACGTGTTTGATGGCTCGGCACCTTGAGCCGTGTCCAATGCTCGCCGACATCTGTTGCGCTCAGGTTCTAGTCATTGTGCTGACCGTGATCAGCTACACCTTGGCTCCAACTTGGAAGTCTGCCAGAATCTGAGTGAACGCTGTGAGTGAAGAGCCAGCGGCTTGTGGCTCCCGTCGCTTGAGGCTTGACCACGCGGACCCGCTGGCTCAGGCTGGCAAAACGGTGCTGCCTGACCCGCTCCATGCTCGCCATGCTCGCCATGCTCGCCATGCTCGCCATGCTCGCCATGCTCTGTGCTTCATGCGGCTGAGAGGCTGTACAATGCCCTTGATTGCAAGCGTTGGCAAAAGAGTGCTGCACGGTGCATTTCACGCAGTCCTGCAGCCTCGGTGTGGAATCCATGCGGCAGTTTTGTGTCAGCTTATGGCTCAGTAAGGAATGCACAGGTAGTCGCGAGCGTATGGGCGGGGAGGGGTTAGTTGCTTAGCCCTGATCCGCATGGACAAGGATGGCAAGGCTCCGCCATCTGTTGCCAATGCAGACGACGAGGACGTGTCCCGCGAAGTTTACTTGGGAGTTGTCAAGTCCTACAACGACCGCCGGGGCTTTGGTTTCCTGGCATGTGCAGAGACCGCAGATCGCTTTGGACGAGATGTCTACATGCCGAAGGCGTGGTTTTCCAAATGCCACCACGTGGCAGCTTGTGGCACCATGACGCTGTGTCTTTGTTGTCTCCGGTAAGGCAGAGGCAACCATGGCTGCCCTTCTCGCTGCTGGTGTAGATAGGGAGACCGCAATCAGCATGGTCATGACCGGGCGCTGCGCTCGGTGATGTTGATGCAATGCTGCCTTTATGTCTCATGTTTGCGCGAGTTGCTCGGTGCCTTTGTGCGACCTGAGGAATACGGGGGCTTCAGCCTCCTCCGCCGCGGCAGCGGCGGCTTGTTTGGGGCCGGATGCTGCCAAGGCGGCGGCTGCGGCAGCGGAGAAGAAGGAAGACGGGGACAAGTCCACCGCGCCTCGTTTGGCCGAGGAGGACTTGGTCTTCTTTCGGGTCCGCCGCAGCGTGGAGGGCTATCCCCAGGCGGTCTGTGTCCAACGCCTTCAGAAGCTCACGGGAACCGTGGTCCATCCGCCGTCCACGCAGCCTGGACAGCCACAGCATGGAGCGCTCACAAGCGACGAGGCCAGAGCCAAAGAAAACATGCGCTTCAAGCCTTCAAGCCTTCAAGCCTTGAAGCCTTCAAGCTTGTGCCAGGCTGTGGCGGTTTGCGGGCGCAGGGAGGCCTGCTCGTTGTTGCAACGCATTGCACAGTGTCTTGCAACAGACATGCGCACAGGTGTCGATGGAAGTAGAAGCCTGCGGTCAGTTGCGACTAGTCCCTGGGGATGTGGTGACTTTTTGCATCCCCGAGGCAGGGCCAGGGCAGCCGTTCCTTTTGCATATGGCGCAGCTTAAATTCTAAAAGCCAGTACTGGTTCCGCAAAGACGGCATATTTCTGAGTCGCTTGAGCCTGTGCGCTGATGCGATGCCAGGCTGAGGCAGAAGGCGCCGCCAGCGCCGCGGCCAAAGAGCCTTTCGCCAAGATGGTCTCGTTGACCTGCACGGCCCGCGTGACCGGCAGCGTCCTGGGCTGCTTCACGTTGGACCTGCCCCGGACGCGCGACGAGCCGATGGCGGCGCGGCCCAACCTGCGGCTGCCGTGCCACGCCTTCGGGGACAAGTTGGTGCTGGCGGGGCTGCCGGGAGACCTGGACGAGGCGGAGCTGATGAAGTTCTTCTCCAAGCAGGGCGCCAGCTCAGCCATCGTGGCGCACGCGCGGACCTGCAGCTTCGCCTCCGTGTCCTTCTCCTCCTTCGGGGAGATCGCCAAGTTCCTGGCGCGCACGGCCCACGCCTACGCGGACGAGAAGGGCACCCTCATTGCGCGGCTGCTGCCACTGGAGGCTCCGGACATGGCCACGCTGCCGGCGTTGCCAGCGCCCTCCCTCACCAGCAACCTGCCCGAGGAGGCCGAGCCGGGGTCGCTGATGGTGTACTGGTCGCCGCTGGTGCTGGCCGTGGCCTACTCCGTGGAGCTGCGCGTGGCCGGGAGCACGGCTCCCTGGTCCTCCGTAGATGTGGCCTCCAAGCGCCTAGTGGCCACCACCAACCGCTTTGACTCCAACTGCTCCTCCTGCAAGGTGACGGGTCTGCAGCTCACAGCGGCCTACGAGGCCCGGGTCTCCTACTTCACGGAGTGCGGCACCATGTCCGAGTCCTCCGAAGCCTCGGAGCCGTGCGTACCCTCCCAGGGCGCCTCCAAGGACGCGAAGCCGCCGGCGCACAGCCCGAAGCTGCCCCCGGCGTCGCTTTCCGAGGCCTATCCCAAGCCCTTTAGCCATCCAAGCCATCCAAGCCATCCAAGCCACTCCAGCCACTCCAGCCACTCCAGCCACCCAAGCCACCCCCTCTCCAGCCATCCCAGCCATCCCAGCCACCTGATGCCGGCGCACGTGCCCCCACCCACTTCTCCCTGGCCTTGGACGCCGCCGGGTGACGTCTACCCGCCAGCCGCAGATGTTCTAGGCCGGCTTTTTGTTTATTTGTGCCCAACTCTCAAACACGTTTTTGTCAGGTCCAATTTCAGTTTCCATGATTCTTCTGTCGTGAGGCTACAGTCCGCCTACCTGGCGCTCGCCCAGTGGCTTGGTGGTGCCTCCACCTGCCGCGCCTGAGCTGTGCCCCGCCGACGAGTTTGGCTTTGCCCTGTCGGTCCGGCTTTGGACTTAGAATGTGCCACAGATCTCTGAGATGCATCCACTTCATTCGCTCAGGTGGCCAGCAGTGCTGCAGGCTGCTGCCTATGTGGTTGAGCTGCGCGAGGTGCTTTCCCCAGTTGCCACTGCGCTAGATGTCAGCCGCCATTCTTGCAGGCAGACACCAGCGTTTTCGAGCGCTTCGTGAGGTCCGCTCCAGAGGCAGGGGAATCATTGCAGGCTGTGAGGGCTGCCTGTGGCCGGCATTGCAAATGGCCCATGTTGACCCACCTCGCGCAGGCGAAGCTTGGCACTTTGGTGGAACTTCGGGTCGGAGGCCTCCGACCAGGTCCTCCGCCGGGTCGTATCTACATGGCGCAGGCAAGGGCTCGAGGGTTCGATTGGCTGCGCTACGCCCGCTTCCCATTTGCAGCTTTTCCAAGGTGCGCACCGTTGGCGCTGATGGCTGGGAGTCCATTCCCTCGGCCCCGGGCTGGTCTCCACCACTCCCAGCGCTGGAGGAGACCTCCGGGCCCACCAGTGGAGCCGGCGCCGCGGGTGCCGCGGGCGCTGCGGGCGCCGCGGGCGCCGCGGGCGCCGCTGGTCTGTCCGCGGACGCTGCGCCCTGGCAGCCCGAGCGGTGGAAGGCCCCAGCCAGCCCCGGCCCCGGCCCCGGGCCCCGCGAGGATGTGCTGTGGGGTGTGCCTCCTCCCCCCTCCGGGCCGCCCACTTTCGGGGCTCTCGAAGAGAGTGCCAATGAATGTTTGATCCTGGATTGAAAAGGATCGAGAAGGGACATCGGTTTCTGTATTCGGCGACCTTGGATGATAGCTTGGTGCAAGGATTCCTTCAATATTGGCTTGTTGCTGCTTACCTTCATCCAAGACTGTGGCGAAGTCAGCCAAAGTGCAGGCTGACACATGTGCTAAAACAGCATTGTATTGTGGCAAGGGCTGACATGCTGTGACTGTCCAAGCGCAAATGGCAAGGTTCTGTTTGGTGCCTCAGGGAGCGAATAGGTTTTTGGCGTTGCAGTCATTCGCATGATGTGCACTTGGGTAGTTTATCAAGAGTAGCAGAATCAGGTGCGCTGAACGGCAGTCATGCTGTGTAGAAGCACTTAAAGGTGTTGCATCGTTGTGTAAAAAAGAGAGAGAGTGCGCACGTCGCTTTGCGTTTTGCCTTGTTGTCTTCAGCAGTGGGCCCGTGCAAGAAGTCTCGTGCGCAGCCTGGCCTTGTCTACTACCAGCATGAGAGCGGCCAGACGCAGTTCGAACGTCCAAGCACAAGGTGTGCCATGTGTTCACTGTGAGCGAGCAGTTTACATCATACATGTGATTCATGTGATTATTCAATACTTCATTCATCGAATTCACTACACGCTTATTCATCTGCCATTTCTCTCTGTTCAGAGTGAGTCTTGGAGTCTTGGGCCCCTGCACCGCAGGTCCACCAAGGACCCTTTGGCAAAGTCACTGGAGGTGGAGGAGAGGCGAAGGATCGAGGCTGGGCTGCCAGGCTTAGAGGCTTAGACTTGCACGAGTCTCCTTTCTCAGGAGGAGAAGAAGCAGGCCGAGTGGCGAGTGGCGGAGTGGCGGAGTGGCGGAGTCCAAGTGTTTGATCCCGCAGGCGGAAAAGCTGCCCGAGAGAGCCGTGCAGAAGGGCGAAGCTCGGGTTTGGCATATCCTCAAGAAGCACAGGCACCATTGGGTTCAAGTCGTAGGTGTCAAGTTGCAAGGGGTGAGGCGACCTGCGTTCCATTGGCAGGGACTTCTTTGGCAAACCAGCGAAGTCTTGGCGGCAGAAGGACATTACCTGGAGCAAAAAGGAGGCAAGGATTTTCAGATGTTCCGCATGTTCCGCACGCCCGAGTGAAGACGGAGGCCAAAGAAGCTCTCAAGAATCTCAAGTTCAAGTTGGAGAACGTGGCGTACGGAGGTGGTGCGCAGGCCCCGTTACTCGGAGTTACTCGCTGTCAACGTGCCACACTGAGTCCGCAGGCGCTACAAAAGAAGTTTGAGAATTATGCCCGTGCGGAAAGCGACGACGACGTGCGAGCTGCGAGTTTGAGTCAACCTTTTTGCAGATTTGGAAGATTTGGATGTTCATGGCAGATCTCGGCCAAAGTTGGCGGCGACTTGGGGTTGGCCCTTAGTTCAGCAGCTTTCTTTGCCAATTTTCGCTTCCGACATGTTGCGCGCGAGGCCAATCACTAAGAGGAGGAAGTTGTTCGGCGGGTATGAGATATCCAAGGCCGCGCCAACAGAGGAAAGGGGCGTGAAAGCTGTGACGCTGGCAGACTACCTTCGAATTGAAGATTGGCACCATCTCCGACATCGTCGAGAGTACAGAGGTACCTTTGTTTTTGTTGTTTTCTTTTTTTCTCTCGCTCTCTCTCTCTCTCACTCTGCCTTGTTCCTTGCTCATGCCTTGTATTTGAATTCCACTGGGAAGCAAAGTTCCAATTCGGGTTTGGCCTCAGGGTGTGCACCTTGTGGGCCGCTTCGAGTGACAAAGAACACCCGGCTTTTGCCTCTGCGCTTGCAAAGGCAAGCAGAAGGTTCGCTTTTTGGCCAATGGCAGTTTCACGGTGGGCGCGGCTCCAGCATGGACAGGATCCGTTCAGAAGCCCTCTGGCAAGCGGCACAGCGCGTGGCATGCTTCGGGCATCGCTTGACGACATTTCGCCCGCAGCATTTGTGGCTGAGATGGAGCTTAGATTCCTGGAGGCATGAAAGATTAACTTGGCCAGGAGGCAGGCGGAATGGGGTTGCAGAGCGCAGACAGAGTTGAGCAGAAGGTCATGCTGATCCGCATCCTCCTGGCCAGCCTTGCGCTCCTTGCTGCCATCTACTTCTTGAAGGCGTGGCACGTAAGCAATGGCATATTTTTTTTGGCAGAAATCGTTTGCCTGGAGAGGCCGTTCTCTTGCAGTTGAGTGCTGAAGATGTCGACGAGCCAGCGGAGCCCGTCGCCAGCACGCCTCACAGCCTGCACCCCAACTCTCTCATCGTAGTGGTTGCCTGCGCCAGGCAATGCCACAGACTTGGAGAGGGCACAACAGGCCTTCAGGCGGGAGGGAGTTGGCATTTCTTCTTGTTCCACTGGTCGTCGCCAGGGTGGGCGAAGATGCAAAGGCGGAGACTTGAGGGGGCTACACCGAAGTGGGCCATTGCCGTCTCAGGCGCTGGCCACATTGACAAGCTGCACACAGGACTCCGAGGCCGGAAACTTGGGGAACTCGTTCGGATCCTCGTGGAACTTGCGGGTCAAGGCATGCAAGACGCAGCTGGGGGAGATGTACCTCGTTGGAGCCGGACTGCCTCGAAACCTCACAAAGGCGAATCCGGCCATCTTTGCAGCTCGTGCTCCAATGTCGTGTAGGTTTCTGCAAATGGATGGATGGAAGACGTTCAAGTATGTAGCTTGACGTGGCGTGCTTGTCATAGATATCCTAGAGCCAAGACTCTGTGCCTCGTCGGCACGTGCCATGTTACAAGCACCTGGTCACCTAGAACTTGTGAATTTCAGACAACCCAGGACAAGGATTCTTCTTAAGACACACACGCACAGACAGACACACGCGCACACACACACAGACACACGCAGAGGTGTAAGGTCAATCCAACATCATCCAACTACATCCACTCTAAACATTCGCATTGGGGCCTGCTTGCACATTTCGGGCCGCATACGTTTTGACCCGGAGGCAAAGGAGCTCTTCGAGGATGCGGCGGAGAAGGGCGATCCAGACGCGCAGTACAACCTGGCGATCCTCCACGCCTCGCTGCCAGCCCGCAACGCAACCCTGGCCCGTCTTCACGTCGCTTCGCACGGCATTTGCATTTCGGGGAGCTGGGTGCACGGAGGAAGACCTTCGACGGAACGAGGCGCGGCGAGAAAGGACTTGTTGGGCACCAAATTTCGCCAGCTTGAGTTAGCACTGACTGAAGGGAGACTTGAATGTGCACCAAGCCGACAGGCACTTGCAGTGCTGCACCTCTATGCAGCCTCTACTGCAGGTGCTGGGCTGACGGGCTGTGGGCTGGCTGTGACCTGGCAAGAGTTGCACAGGTCATCCAGGCGCTTTGATGGCCATGGGCTATCGGCACCTTCATGGCTATGGAGTCCCTCAGGCGAGCCGCGATCGAGCTTCGAGTGTCCCCTGCGCCTCGATGCCCCCAGGCTTGCACCACGGCCGCCTTGAACTACATCGACGTGGCCAAGGGCATTGCCAGCATCTACAGCTCAGGCATGCCACAGGCTGTGGAACTGGTGCGCCTGAATCTGCCGCACAAAGAGAGGAAGGCCGGGCATGGCATCTCATGGCGACTCATGGCATCTCATGGCATCGGATGCCAACTCATGAAGCCTCATGATGCCTCATGGCCTCCCTAGGCTCGAGAATCGATCTAAGAGCTCGATTCTCGGGTTTTTCTGAGGTCATCAGCTCTTCGGAGCTGAATCTTTTCGTCCAGATTGCAACCAGCGGCGATAGCACTGTGGCTGCCGCCATTGGCAAGCGGTACCTCTTGGGCATCGAAGGTTTCAAGCAAGACCTCCAGAAGGCAGGGGCGGCAGGTGAGCGGGAGAGATGACGCAGATCTCAGTTCTGCTCAGGCAAAGCAGTACTTGAAGATGGCTGCCAACCGGAATCATGCCGGTGCCGTGGCGCTGCTTGGCTACATGTACTGCCTCGGCCGGGTCCCCAATGCCGTGGCTCTCGCCGTTCACATGCAGCTGTCGCCCATGAGGCCTGGGCATGCCCCAGAATCTGGACACGGCCTATGCCTACTTTGTCACTGCGGCCAATCAGAACGATCCTTTGGGCCACAACGGCCTCGGGTACATCTACTTCCGCGGCACCAACGCACAGGCAGGGCGGCGGCCGCATCGCTCGTGGAGTTCGCCTAGCTTCGGGCAGCTTCATGCAGGCACGCAACTTGCGCTTGGCCTTCAAGCACTTCAACGAGTCCGCGTATGGTGGTTCATCTGACGGCATGTTCAACCTGGCCAGCATGTGCGCTCGGAGCAGTTGCCGGTACGAGCCAAAGTGAGTCAATGAGGTACCTCACCGGGTCCGGGGCTGAGCAGTCCTTCCAAAAGGCGGTGCTCTACTATACCCAGGCGCGTGATATGAGCATCGCGCGCGCGTGCGGGATGTGCGTGCCATGTCTACTTCCCCAATCGCCAGGCCCTGGACCGTGGCCACACTCCAGCCGCGTACTCCTTGGCAGTGATGCACCTCAACGGCATCGGGCCGCAGCCTCGGGGCCCTGCCAAGCCTTGAGACATACGGCTGCGGGGCTAGGACAGTGAGGGACTGCGACATCGCTGTAAACCTTCTGAAGAAGGCACGGGAGCCAACCGCTGGTGCGCGTGTCGCTCAACAGTAGTAAGCCCAGGTGTGTGAGAGGGGAGAATGGTTGTCCAGCAAGCTGGTGAGCGCCTATGACTTTGGCCATGCCCCCAGATGGAGTGCGAATGCCATCTCCAGTTGATGTTCTTGAGGTGACAAAGAGCCTGACAAAGCTGCTTTGATGTTCTTGAAGCTGGCGGAAGCTGGGCACGAAGTCCCTTGGATTGAGAGAAAATGCCAGCTGCATTCACGACTTGCATGTTGAGTGTTTTGAGGTGTCGCAAATGAACGTTGCGCATCTTTTTGACCACGGGCACGCTAACTTGCTCTTGCCTGACGAGCCCGGCAGGGAGACCCAAATCCGAGACGTAGATGCTGAGATACGAGTTGGGCAGTGTCATTTCCAGGTGATAAGCCCCGAGCACGGGCAGATGATTACGATGCCGAAGATGCGCGATATCACGCCCGGAATGTTGCTCAGTCTCCTGGCTGATTCGATGTGAGAATCACCTTGATGAAATGCATCGCGCAGATGCACAGACGTGGAGAATTTGTGAGGCGTTTCTACGAGCTTTCTGCGGAGCAAGGAAGCGCCTCTTCAGAGCTTCGGCTGGGAGACTATGCCTACTATGGTGACACCAGCATGTGGCTTTGCACGTGGAACATGCCACATCAGCCCTGCCAGGTTGGGGGATGTCTTCCAGCTTCACCGAGACGCCCTTGCCAGAGACGCCCGTGCCAGATGATTGGCAAGACTTCCCCTTGCCATCCATCTACACCAATGACATAGTTGAGCTCTTTCCTCAAGAAGTCGACTACGAGGCTGCCTTGGCGAGGTATCGCAAGACAGCAGACATGACGGTGACGGGGGAATGGATGCAGAGCTTCGTTGCGCGTGCCTCCTTCAATCTGGGCTTCATGCACCAGTTCGGCATCGGCATTGGGCAGGACCCATTGTCAGAAGTCGTGCATGTCCTGCGACATTTGTTCCCACCAGGACCTCAACATGGCAAAGCAGCACTACTTCCGCTGTCGCGAAGTCGACCCCATCGGATTGCACGCACCTGTGACCATTGCCTTGGCCACACTTGCATGCCATGTGTATCCCTGGCATGTTTGGCTCTCAAGCTGCGCTCATTGACTTGCACTGTCTTGCACTCGATCTTGGCTCATATTCAGGCTTTACACGCGGTTGCCAAACGGAGACGAGCTGATGGCTCGCCTGTCGGCCGACGTTCGAGTCCACGTGCTCCTGCTGCATCTCATCGCCGTGGTTGTCATGGCCTGCCTGCCATGCTTTCCACTCTTTGTTTTATATGGCTATCAAAGTGCTATCAGTTGTGACTGTCCGGGCTATCAAAAGGTGATGCTGCAGTGCTACTTGTCGAGCAGAAGAAGAAGCGGGCCAAGGGTACGGGTGCGGCGGGAGGCCGGGATGCTTCAAGAAAACAGACCGCTTTGGACATGTTCTCATCTTTTCATATTTGCCGAAGTCAATGTGTTTTCATGTTAGTCTTTTCTCCGTTCTCCCTTTTCTGGTTCGGCTTCGAGCTCTCGAAGCGCTCCAGGGCCGACCGCCAAGTCCGCGGAGTCCACGCCCTCGGCCAGGCGCCTCTTCGACGCGTCGATTTCCTCGCTCAAAGAGGATTGGTTTTCTTCGAATCGGAAAAACGATCTCCGACATCGAAGAAACTCGTGTGGCACAAGTGATTTGCATCGTTTGATCCGCAGGCAGCGCTGAGAGCCGGCGCGCCGGGAATGTTGTGCTCGATTGAGACATAGCTTCTCGTTTCACTCCAAGGGGGTTGCTGTTTTGGGCACTGCGATGATTGTCTCAAGCCCAAAATTCTTTATGGCAGCCCAACTTGGCAGGGCGTAGGTTTAGGACGGACAGCGTGAAGAGACCACTTGGCCCAGGGTCCGTGTCTTGGGTCAAACAGCATGCATGGATCAGCGCTTGGTAACCGGTGCATTTCGATTAGTGTTCATATGCACATGAGTTTCGGCTCTAGGCCTCTGCATTGCCCAACACTTGGCGCTTGTGTATTGATGAGCCTACTCATGTTGACTTTTTGTCTGCAACCAGCGTTGTTGCTTCTTTCATGCATCTGAAACAGACTGAAGACTGACTGCAGCCAACTTGGCCCTTGGTGCGCATGGCTCTGCATGGCTTTGCATGGCTTTGGCACCTCTTCTAAGATCTGCGGCGGTGCTTGATCTTCTGGAGGCCGCTGCATCGACGCTTAGGGGTCCTGCTTGAACTTGACACATTTCCTCTGGGTGCCAATTGGTCATTTGGTTACGGCTCAGGGTGATGTAGTGCTGCCCACTCACCAGCCATGCCTCGAGAAGGTCGGCGAGAATGCGGAGGATCTGAGGCCGAAGCTGGCCTCTGCGGACGTGGATGCACGGGTCTTCGGTCTGCAGGCCTTCTTGGAGAACCCAGTGAAGACGCTGAAGACGCTGTCTCTCAGCAAGGCCCGGAAGAGTCGCTTCAGCGTCATCGGCCGGGCCCTGGGCGCTCGGAGCTCCCGGCACTGCGCACCCAGCGTCGCGGCGCTCACCGAGTCGGTAGCCCTCATCGCCGGCCTGCTGAAGCGCCGGCGCAACGGGAAGCACACGGAGACGGAGCCGACGGAGCCGACGAAGCCGACGGAGCCGGCGGAGCTGGCGGTGGTGGCCGAGGCCCTCAGCTCCGCTCTGCAACTGCTGCAGGAGTTGCCGGAGGACGAGGACGAGTTCTTCCACTTCCTGGAGAAGCTCTTGGCCAAAGTGCGCTGGGCTGCGCTCCACCCAGGCAGCGTCCTGCTGATTCCTTGCAGCTCCACGAGCAACCAGAGAGATGAGAGAGAGGAGAGAGGGAGGACTTGACGCAAGGACTGGCACACCCGAGCTAGGCTGATCCTCATGTTTTCAGAGACCACTTGCTGAGGTGGATGGCTACGTCGGAGGTCATCCGCTGCAAGCCCTCAGGATGACCTGGGACACTGCGTGCTGCTGGTCCTGCACCGCTGCAAAGATGAGGAAGAGTTCCTGATGGGCGTGATCAACACGGGCGAGGGGCTGCAATATCACCCAGCTAGCTTGTCCCGAGTTCAGCCGAATCCCGAGATGGTGTTGCGACAATCGCCCTTGATTCTCAACAAGATACCACTGGAACGAGCATGCTCTAGTGCAGTTTGGTACTTGCTCTTCCGCCAGATCATGCATCCAGATCCTGACAACGGCTCCTCAAATGCACAGCTATCTTTTGGCTCGAGAGGAGTACACCAAATGCAGCTCACCAAAAGAAATGTGCCTGTAGCTGAGGCGCTGATGCCATGTACGGGGTGCTCCTGCCCTTTCTTAATCAGAAGCCTCTCAGCGCCAACGACCCCGAGGGCTCCTGGCACGAGCCGCTGCCGGCGGCCGGCGATCGGTCCTTCGCGCTGGCCGTGGAGCGCTCCGTGCGCTTCATGCTGGTGCTGTCCGGCATGGAAGAATCAGATGCCAGCTGGTGGAGCAGCGTCAACTTGCGCATCTCAGCAAGAAACATGTCAGAATCAAGCAAGGCATACCAGGACATACCAGGGCATAGCGAGGCATAGCGAGGCAGAGCGAGGCAGAGCACGCAACTTGCCGTTCCCATGACACGCTGCAAAAGCCGGCGCATGGCAGCGCACTTGGGGTTTCCAAGGCCAGGCGCTGGTGGAGTGCATGGAGGAGGCGCTGACGGCCCAGGACCTCCGGGCCCCCGCCACCGGGGAGTTCGCGCTGCTGCGCGTGGGGATCAGCTCGCTGGCCCGCGCCGCGCAGACCCAGGCCTCTCGGGCCAAAGAGCCCCAGCTCAGGGAGGTCCAGGCCTACGTGGAGCGTCTGGACGCCAAGGCGACGGGTTTCAGAAACAGATCTGAAAGATCTGAAAGATCTGAAAGATCTGAAAGAGAGTTTTCAGATCTGAAGGCACGGAAGTGTTGAGACAAATTTGAGTCGGAGGCCCTGAACCTGGAGCACTCGCAGCGCCACGCGCGGTCCGTGCAGCCGCCAGCCTGGGTGGCGACAGACACGGAGACACGCTTCGGGGGCTTCGGGCGCGTGCTGCTCCAAGACGTGGAGCCCTTGAAGGGCGAGGCGCCCGGGAAAGTATCTGGGAAAGGACGGACATTGGGACACATGTTTGTTTCGGGGGCGCGGAAAGCCAGAGAGAGTATCTCGAAGCTTGTGAAAAAGCCCCCTTGTTTTTATGTATGGCTCGTAGGCATGCAATGAGACGGCAAACCATGCGAGGTCAAGCATGGCTCCCTGATATTGCCCTGCCTGCCTTCAGCACTTCCAGCAGAGATCAAGAACTGCTCAGAGGCTGCGGAATGCTGCCGTTTGGTCAGCAGCATGCTCACCCTGATGATGAATCAGCAAAGTCGCTTGCCTCACGCCCCTGCATCCTGCTTCGCTTTGGTGGTGCACTTGATGGCCAGATTGCTTCCGATGCCTTTGCCGGTAGATGATGCCCAGCCAGAAGCGTGCTTCTGGGCGACGGACTTGACGGTGGAGACCAAGAAGGACCTGCTGCGCAGTCTGCACATGATCTGCCGCGGCTTCTCGGCGGCAGCCACCGCGCTGAGCGCCGCCCGCGCCACCCGCGAGGCAGATGGCGCACGGACCTGCGTGGCCGCCGCGCTGGTGGCGGTCATGGACGCGCTGCTGCGCCGGCCGCTGTCGTCGCAGCTCGCTGAGAATCTTGCTGTGCAGGAGCGGCACGGGGACCTCTTCTCGCTGCACTACTCGGGCCAAAGCGGCCAGAGCGGAAGCCAGAGTGGAAGCAGCGGTTTCCGGGGTCCGTGTCAGCCCTTTGTGTTGGGCTCGGGCACATTCCGGGAGACCTCGGAGGCGCTGCTGTTGCCGCAGCCGGAGCTGGCAATGCTCCGCGCCCAAGCTCTGGACTACTTCCAGAGCCTCGAAAGCGAGGGCTCCCATGCCATCTTCAACTTCGACCAGGCCATGACGCCCAGCTCCGCAGACCGTGCCGGGCCCAGAGTGGGAAAGGAGCAGGGAGGATTGACGGCGTGTGATGGTGAGAGCGATAACATAATATGTGGCCATTGTCAGAGAGTGTGTAGCTTTTCCGTGTTCTTCCGTGTGCCCATATTTTGTGAGTCAAGGATTGCTGGTGGAGCAGCTGAGTTTGAGCATCGGTCTGGATGCGCCTGCGAAGCCCCGGCTCGCTTTGGCAAAGTGAGCCCAAAACGAAGAACATCATCAAACCACAGCTAGTCTTCTTACAACTTGAGTTACGTGGCCAAAGCTCGACTTAACGATTTACAGTCATTTCTCGCAAAAAACAAGTTATCTAGTTGCAATTCATGGTCCATTGCAACGTTAACAGCTGTGTCGAACATGGTGTGTATCAAAAACCGCATCCCCTGGTTTCCAATCGAAGCAGCGTACAAGCTCAACATGGGACATTGGACACTTGCCTCCAGGCACTCTTTGCTCACAGGGGAGCGGCCTGAACTGATCGACTTCTTCCCCGAGCTGGGCTGGCTTCGAGACGTGTCCTGTTCGAAGTCCGCATCTTTTGTGCACGCATGCACGCAAGCACGCATTCGTGGCATGCAGGCTCTCTCTCTCTCTCTCTCTCTCTCTCTCTCTCTCATCTCTCTCTTCTCTCTGTCTCTCTCTCTCTCTCTCTCTCTCTCGCTCTCTCTGTGTCTCCTCTCTCTCTCTCTCTTTGTCGCTCTCTCTCTCTCTCTCTCTCTCTCTCCTCTTTCTCTCTCTCTCTCTCTCTCTCTCTCTCTCTCTCTTCTCTCTGTCTCTCTGTCTCTCTCTCTCTCTCTCTCTCTCTCTCTTCTCTCTCTCTCTCTCTCTTCTCTCTCTCTCTCTTCTCTCTCTCTTCTCTCTCTCTCTCTCTTCTCTCTCTCTCTCTCTCTTCTCGCTCTCTCTCTCTCTCTCTCTCTCTCTCTCTCTCTCTCTCTCTTCTCTCTCTCTCTCCCCCTCTCTCTTCTTCTCTCTCCTCTCTCTCTCTCTCGCTCTCTCGCTCTCTCGCTCTTTTCTCTGTGTCTCTCTCTCTCTCTCTTCTTGTGTATCTTTCTCTCTTTTGTTGAGGCCGTGTTTCTGTGGAAAGTGCTGCTCTTGCCACCCAGCGACGACAAGGCTGGGCAGTGCAACAGAGAGCAGAAGAGTCTGGCAGATCTGCTCGCACACTGCCTTGCGGTAGGCAGCGCGACCCAGCATGTCCCTGGCGCCCTTGCAATGGAAGTGGTCTGCCCGGCGCAAGTCCCGGAAGAGCCGGATCTTCCGAGAGAACTCGGAGGAGAAGAATGATGGGTTCTTTCTGGTGCAGGGCTTCGAGGCGCGCGCCACGAGCTGGTGGAACAGTCGCTGGCAGGGCCTGGAGAACCTGAAGCGCTGGCTCAAGGGCGAGGACGGGTATCGCTCAGACTTCAGGTCCGTCAGCCAGGCCAATCCCAGCCTCCTGGCTGGCAGCAAGGTGCAGTCAGAGGAGGACATCTTGGCGCTGCAGTCGGTTCCCAGCTTCGGGGCGCTGAAAGCGTCGGAGAGTGAGCTGCTTCTCACGTACCTCGTCGCGCCGTACCTGCGCATACCCTTGGTGTTGAACTTCTTTTGGGACAAGCAGCGCATGACTCTGCTCCAGGAGCCTCAATTACAGGCGAGCTTTTGCCGTTGCGATGTTGCGAGGCTTCTGTTCACGCCTGCCAGGCAATCTTGGAGGCCACCTTGTTTGAGCCCGGCCCGTGCCTGTGGCTGCAGATAAGTCGGGGTCTGTGAGGGCTGAGTAGTAACTGATCCTGGGAGAGTTTGCAACAGGTGGCTCCCACACCAGGAGGCGCCCGCGGAGACGATCCCGTCGTCGAAATGTTTGGGCACGAGGGCGGGGCTGCTTCTGAACGAGCTGCAGTTCTCCTCGGACGTGCTGTCGGCGTGTTTGCGGCTGCTGCGCTTTGTGCACGAGCAGGACCCGGGGCGGCCAGGCACGGCGGGCACCGGCAAGGAGGCGCTCATCCTCTTCATCGTGCGCCTCGCGGTCCGGGTGGAGAGCTACGCGGTGCTGGTCTTGGACAAGCAAAAGCAGCGCGCCGGCCGGCGCCAAGTTTCTGTGATGCAGCAAGCGTCACAGAGAATTCAAGCAGGGCTTCAAGAATTGAGCAATATGTTGCGCAACGAGATCATGCAGATGCTGCTGGAATGGGCTGCGCAGGTGCTCTGGACAGAATTCATTTATTGCTCTTTCTCCTTGTAAGTTTCAACATGCAGATTGCAGAGACATAGGCAAACAGATAGAGACACAGAGGCACAGACACTTTGCATGGGACTCTGACAGAGGCAGTGAAGAAGCAGCCAAAGATGATGGCCGCAGCTGCTCGAGTTCACGCGCACATCGCTTATCTTTTTAAGAATCACTTGCCGGAGACTGTGCAGCATGTGTCCATCTTCCTTGCATCCCAAGTCTTCGTGGTTACCAACTACAACTTCAGTTGGACATCTCAGGAGGCCAAAGCCACAACTCTTCAGGTTGGCGAGTTTGAGCTCTTCGACGTATTCGAGAATCAGCGCGGGCATGTGGCACGCTGGCTAAGAGGGCACACTTCTGAGGCAGCAGTGGTGATGGAACACGTGGAGAGAGTTGTAACTTGTCGTGGGGCCGCGTTTGTGAACTGTGCACCTCGGGAGTGGCGTGAGCTTCCGCACGAGCCTGGAAACTGGACCCTCCACGAGCCGACCGAGTCGGAGACGGAAAAGCGCAACGAGTACAAGGACTGCAAGGGCTACAAGGACTGGCTCCAGCAGGCGTATCACGACTGCGGCGTGGTCATCTCCACCAACCAAGGTCGGTACCACTGCCGCGACGCCGGGCTGCAGCTGCTGCCGGACGACGTGCTGCGCTCGCCCCACTTTGTGGAAGCCTGCGGTGACCTCAGTGACATGCAGGCCATCCTGCGGGAGGAGACTCTGCGGCGCACCTGCTTTGAACTGGTGGGGCAAAACCTTGAGGCGGGGCTTCCTTGGCTTGGGTATGGGTGGGGGTCCTTGTGTATTGGGGCCTGACCAAGGCTGGGTCTTGCGCTTCGCAGGTGCATCGCTGGGATACCGAGTCACGGCAACTTGCGAGCGCCTCTGGCTTGACTGTGGTGCCCACCAATGAGCTTCCAGAGGCCGGAGTTGTGACGTGCAAAGGCTCAGTGGGTTTGGTCTGAAGCCAGGCTCTTACTCCTTTGCTGGCTCTGCTGCCAGAGCTGCAGAAGATGAGCTTCCATCGCTGCCGCCCTGTCAAGGAGGCAGATGTGTGGCTGCTTGCAGTCGGAGACGATGGTATTAGCATGGAGGTCGGCGTGTGGCTCAGCCCATGTGTCGTGGAGATCTATGACCTAGTCAGCCACGGTCGACAGATCTACCGTCGCCTGGTGTTCACCTCTGACAGCACCTGGTCCTTTCACATCCCAAAGGGGCCCGAGCTCGTGCTGTACTCCCAGCAGGGTGCAGGACTTCTGGTGCACATTCGAACATGTGGTTACTGTGTTTGAGTGGGTGGGCCTGCCTTTTTGGCACGTCAGTCGCATGCGCATGATTGATGCATCGTTTTTTTCCCAGCTAGTGGCATGCCACTCTTGATTTGGCGCTCACTGTTTAAGCCTCGTAAATTCGGCCTTGATCGCAGGATGGAGCCTTGGAAAAGGAGTGGTGGGTGATCTCGAGCCCGGTCAGAGCGTCCAGAGCGTGCGCATCTTCCGCACAGGCGCGCCCGGACACTTGGGATCTCTGAGCCGAGCGTCAGCAGCTGTCAGGTGCGGGTCATCAGGAGTACATTCCGCAGGAGATGCTCCAGGGCTTGTTGCCAGACGCGCTGCTGGAGCGCTACAAGTTTTGGCGACAGGCGCACGCGCGCAGTGTGGAGTCTTGCATCAAATCTGATCGCTGGAGAGCGGATTTCTGTGCCGAGGTAAAGGAGGGCTCCGAGAGCCTTTTGGGGGAGGAGCGATTTGAAGTGGACCAACCGTCGCGTCTCAGGGTGCAGCTGACGCGCCCGCCCAAGAATTCCATTGATGTCAAATGACATGAGAATAACGTTTCGAGGCCTGGTAGCTCCGGAGAAGCGCTTGCCACAGTGGAGAGGCGCAAGTTGCGCCCTGGCGAGATGCTGGCGACCCAGTGTGGCTCCCCAGTGCACCAGCCAACCGGCTGTTGGAGCATTGGAGTCTGTGTGGCTGTGGGGGCAGCTCCAGAGTGTGCTGAGGCCAGCGCAGTGGGAAGAAATGCAGCCCGAAGTCTTGGTGAATGCCAGGAGCAAGATGGGGGGCCTCAACGAGCTGCTAGCTCGCTTGGAGAACCTTTCCCACATCTTGGTGTGGCGTGACGAGACTCGGGTCATTGCAGCATGCTTTGCGCTCGTGCCTTTCTTCAGTCTTGCAATTTTTCCGACATAGTCGTTTGTTCGACAGCCCTCAGAAAAAGAACAATTACACCAGCAGAGACCCCAAACAGTTGAGGACTGACGGGCAAGCACAAACATGCCAAAAGCTTGTGGCTTTCTGCGCTTCAACACGGATAAATCAACATGATGCAGTCGTGAACCCGGCACGCGTTGCGTTGCTGCACGTGTGTTGCTGGCGTGCTTCGCGCTTCAGCACCGCACAGGAACTGAGGTTGGGCAAGCGCGTGCGATAGCGGGCGAGCGCGCGCGAGCGCGCGTGAACGCAAGTGTGGCTGCGCAAGCGCGTGGCTGCGCAAGCGCGCGGTTAGTTCAGACACACATGTCCAGCTCAGACCCACATGTATGTGTGTACATGTGAAACACACATATGTATACGACTGAAACAGTACACGCGGCACGCGCAGATGTGCGCCCGTGAGCACACACAAAAACATTCACCCGCGGCACACGCATGTGTTGAGCTGGAAAACCAACGTCTGCTTCTTGTAAAGCACACACACACATGTGTACACCTGGAACACACATATGTGACTTTTTTGCGACACGCTAATGTGTTCACATGTTCACTTGGAACACAATGAAACGCGTGTCCAATTCAGACACACATGTGTGTACACGTGGAACACATGTGTGGACACCTGGAACACAAACACTTGCGAATAAAGCACACATGTGTGTGCGTGTGGGACATACATATGTATACCGCTGGAACACAAATATGTGTCCAGGAACACCACGTGTGCGATTAAATCTCACATGTGTGCACACGTGGAACACACATACGTGCATGCGTGAGCGACATAAATGCTCACCTAAAGCGCGCGCACACACATGTGCGCACCACGAAAACAATCAGGTGTTTTCTGGAGCGCACACACATGTGTACACCTGGTGAGCAAATATGTGCTCAGATGCAACCTGGAACACAAACACGTGTCCAAGCGGGACACACATGTGCGTACACGTGGGACGCACATATGTGTACACGTGAACACACATATGTGCACTCGTGAGCACTCACATAAATGTGCACCCGGAACACACCATTGTGCTCATCCGATAACAACCGTGTGTTCTCCGGGACACAAACACGTGTCCAATTGGAACACACATGTGTGCGCACGTGAACACACATATGTGTACACGTGGAAAACACACAGGAGTGTTCATCTGAAAACAAACACGTGTTCTCCTGAAACAAGTGTGTGTTCCGGGTGCACATGTACATTTGTGTGTTCGCGTGTACACACATGTGTGTCCCACGTGTACACAGACGTGTGCTCACGTGTGCGCACTTCTGTTAACTGGACACGTGTTTCCACGTGCGTTCACCTGATAAACAAACACAAACACAAACACGTGTTCAATTGGAACACACATGTGTGTGCGCGGGAACGATCGCCTCGACGACCGCCGGTTGGAAGTCGTCGCCAACGGTCTCCCCCTGTGGGGCGGCGCCCAGCTCGCTGTCGACACAACTCTTGTGTCCCCCGTCGATTCGGCCGGCCGCCCGCGCAGGCGTGGCGGGCGCACTCGTGGCACGGCGGGCTGTTCGTTGCTCGCTGGTCGGCGTTCGTGCCCTTTGCGGCTCAGCTGTCCTTCGCCGAGTCCCTCCTCGCAGGTCGCGTCAGCGCTGGCCGGTCTGGCTTCGGCGGACAGACAGAGACACACACAGACAGAGACACGCACACACAGAGACACACACACAGAGACACACACTTGAACTCCCGAGGGAGGGTACTCGTCAAAGTACTGTATGGGTCTTGAAGTAATAGTTTCGGCTGGCAGGTCACTTGGCTTCCCTTTAGCTACTTTGACAATAGGGAAGGCGGAACTCCTGTTCACCTGGTTGCCGGTGAGCTTGAAGGGCATGTTTCAGCAGTTCTTGGCCTCTGCCTGGCCATGACATGATGACGGATAGGACCACCCCCTGTAGAGGCGGGCAAGCAGGCCTGGAACTTTCACAAGACCCTGGTGGACCGGCCTTCAAGGACGTCCAGAGGGAACCTTGTATACGTGACGCAGGTGAAGCCCTTCAATTACACACAAGGCCACATGGTGGAACTCATGGAAAACGGGAGCGCATGGAGGCCCTCTTCGGTGTTGAGCCTGACCTGTTCCAGCTGGCCCCAAGCAAAAGGAGCCCGAACCGTCTAGCGGAAGAAGAGAGGCCCCCTAAGGAGCGGAGGAGCAGATGGCAGTAGGAAGGGGCTGTACAGGCGGTAGAGGAGGTGAAGAAGACGGGCCTGCGCCTCTCGCTGGAACACATGATCGCCATGTCCGGCCAGCGGAACAAGCAGCTCTTTGACGGCACTACTCAGGGCGCGGGCCTCCTGGCAGCGGTAAAGAGGAAGCTCACCTTTGACGCAAAGGCCGGAGGACCAATCAGATGAGTCAACTGGAAAGGGCGCCCGATCCCACATCAGACTTCTAGGATCAGAAACCGGCGGCGGTCAAGCGAGCTGGACCTCAACAAGGTGGTGGCTTTACACCCCAAGTCGGGGGAACTTAAATACCAGAGGAGGCAGTCCAAAGAGGGCGCGGAGTGAATCATAGACAAGTCCTACACAGCCTCCTCGGACAAAAAAACAATGGAAGCGCATGCTGATGATCTGGCGCACCTCCCTCGTGATGGTGGTGGCATCGATTTCCTCTCCAGCTACCATCACGCTCATCAAGGATGAGCTGGACGAGTACTCCTTACTACTTCTCCGGATGCTCCTCCTTTACCACATCTCCCATTCCCAATGGAACACCCGGAAGACCCAGCGAACTATGGAACATCGGACATCCACCAAAAGTGCAGTTCGTGGTGGGCCGCATCGCAGTGCAAAGACTTCCTCATTGTGTAGGCTTTTGACCAGTGCATGCTTGGCCATCCATGCAATAAACCTACAGCGGTGATGACCAACCTTGAGGTGGACTGGGTGTGGCACGGCTGTTGTTCATTTGTTCAGCCTGGATGTCTGGCATGGCTCTCTGAGTGGACGGGTTCATTTGTCTAGACAAATGAACCCGTCCACCCAACAGCCGTGCCAGGCATCCAGGCTGGGAGACAACGGGAGACAAATGAAGGGAGACAAAGAGCCTTCATTTGTCTCCTGTTTTGTCACAGTGCAGTCTGCAGCACTCCTCGCACTTTTCTCCCGAGACCGCGAGGGTTGCAAAATTAACCTAAACCAGGACGGGCAAGGCAGCAAACACAGCCTGTTGGCTGTGTCTGCTTCCTGCCAGCCCCAGTCTCGGATTAAGGGTATTCACATACCCAGGTTCCCCTGTCAGCTGCGAACATAAACAGGAGTAGAGATCCCAGGACCGGGTGTGTTCTAAAAAGGGGGCCAACCGTCCGCCGCATTGAAGGCAAACCACCATATTTGGGACTTGTCCGGGTTCGGTGATTCCCCAGCCAGCCTCCCACGGTGGCCCGGCCCGGAGATTCTCCTGTGTCACATGGCATCCAGTGGTCGTTCCCAAAATCATGGACAAGGCCAACTTGGGCGGACACCTCTTCAGGAAAGCCTTGGCTACCCATTGAAGGAGGCCCAGGAGAGAGGTCATTTGCGGCCTTGTGTGGCTCCCCCAAATGCAGCAGAAGCTGCAGTCTCTCAAGCTTGTCATCTGGCAACCAGGCCGTACCCTTGCTGCTGTCCACCCGGCGCCCGAGCCACAAGTTCTGCGGTCCCAGGGCATTTTTGTGCCAGGAGATAGGACATCCCACCAGGGAAAGAAACAGGAGGAAGATGCCCGCAATCTGCAGGCCCGCCAGATTGCGCAGGAGCCGTCCACGAAGACCATGACCCACAAGAACTCCGCCGAGATGTGGTAGGCCGTAGGCCGCTGCTCTGCTGCAGTAGTACTGGGCAGACGCAACCCCATAGGTGCCGACCATGTTGACCCAGAATCGGTTCTATGTGTTTCCAGTCATTGCGATTGATTTTGATTCGTCTATGTGCCTTGCTGACATCCGACTTGAACAAGGCGAGGTTCTTTTCCAGGAGCTGCCCCCTCGCCCACACACAGCAGATCGTGAAGTGTGGGGGAGGTGGTCTTCTTGGTGATATGTGATCGGATGTTGTCATTAACTCCAATGATGGTGGCGTCAAAAATTGTACGGACCTTGTCTGCTTCCTGGATCGCGGCCATGGCCCCCACACACAGGTCTTCCGGTCTACATTCGAGGACCTTGGCGCCCTCTTCCTTGGAAAAAGAGCCGAGTACCATGCCCCGCTCTTCTTTGAAGGTGCGCTCAATCTCGTCCTCAAACTTCTCTGCGCTAGAGTTGTTTCTTGTGGAGTTTGTCCCAGTTCCGCTTTTGAGGGCCAGATCTGAGACTCTTCCAAGACCGGTGTGTCTGGCACTCCATTCGCCAGGTGTTCCAGGAAGGGGGCGCCCGGGTCCTCTGAAATGTCCGCCAGCGCTTTGCGAATGTCTAGGTGGAAAGGTTGTCCCGGTGGAGCAGGGTCCACTGTCCTGGATAGGTGTTTGCCGAGTTGATGGGCGAGTTTCCGCCCACACATGTTGCAGCCATTCCGGCGCCCAGGGCCCACGCTTGTCCTTGGATTCTAGGCTTTACCAGCGCTGGTAGCAGCCGGGAGTATTTGGCCCAACCAATGGCCCAGCCACTCCAGTCGCCTAGCTCCTCGTTGGTGCGGTAGTAAACGGCCCAGAGACGGTTTGCCTCCCCCATCTCTCAGAGGTCTCAAGCGGTGTCCCAAATTCACCACGTGCCAGGGAAGATGCTACCTGCCGATGTGGTTGGGTGTTGCGCGTGGGCCCAAAGTATGAAAGCATGGATCGATCTCCATGTTCATTTGCCATCCCCATCTCCCCAAGGCCTTGCTTGAGAACCATTGTGGGTGTTTGGGGCCCAGGCTTGGAGACAAATGAAGGAAGAGAAAGGGAGACAAATGAACCCGTCCACCCAGAGGCTATGGCTTGGCAATAGGCGAGTCACTTGAAAAAGAAACAAAACTGAGGTTCCTTCCAGCGTCTGAAAAATGAAGTGGGGTTGCCTTTGATGCCCTCGTTGCAGACCTTGTTCGGCAGGCAAATGGTACCGGGGTGCAGCGTGTGGAGCTGCCAAGACTCTCACTCTCGTTTTCCTGGCACGATGGACGCCTGTGTTGCGACCAGCTTGCCGGGTATTGGTGGCTGAGCGGCATGCAGTCATGTGAGATGTGTTCTTTGTTCGTGTCCGCCCCTTTCCGACCGTGCAGCCCCCCCGTCATTCCGCTAGGCTGGTGGAGCGGCCGCAAGAGCTGCCTTTTTTGGTGCACCAGCTGGTGGCACACTGGGGCGGCGGCAGCGTGCTGCTAGCGGCCGCGGACGGCCTGGCGGTGCTGGTGTCGGCCCTGGCGGAGCCCGTGAGGCCCTCCAAGGCTCTCAGCTCCAACTCGGGGCCCGCGGAGCATTTGCTGCCGGGGCAGCTGGTGCTGCGCCGGGGGCGGCCCGCCTGGACCGCCCGCCTTGCTGAAGGACGCGAGCGTTGCGCAGTCTGAGACAGGGATGGAAGGGTGGGGGGCTATAATGGGCCAAGGGGCTTAACAACTCGAATCGGATGAACTCGAGGGCCAGTTGACGTCACGCAGGTTCAAGGTACTACTGCTACCCACTGCATCGGTGCAACCAGATGGTCTTCACGCCCACACCGGCGGCGGCGCTGTATCTGCTGCTCTGCCGATACCTTACATGGCACTTCGAAGAGGTGGCGGCCATGGCCACCGCCATCTCCGAGGTCACACGCCCTGAGGAGCAGCAGCTCTGGGAGTGCCTCTCGGCATGAGATGCGTCTCGTTGCGTCTCCTTGCGTCTCGTTGCAAGCTTGCAAATGGGACATGGTTCTGTTCTAACATTTTTGAAATTGTTGTTGTCTCAAATCCACGGGATTAACACTACTATTATTAATCATAAACTGTTCCTAAAGGACTATCGCGAAAATATTATGCGTTTCTGTCTAATACATCTCTTATATTCTTAAGTTTTTTAAACATATTATTCCTTTGTAATTTCCTTGATAAGGTCATTATAAGACGGGCTTAATCTTAATTGTGATTTTAGCGTGTTCATCTGTGTATTGTCTAATCTCATTATGAAGTTAATTAGATTATAGATTTGTTAGATTAATTTAATATATTAATCTAACTATTTTTTTTCAAATGTATAATTCTTTCTTAGTTGATTGATCTTATCTTTTTTCTTCTAAATCATTTCTGAATAGTTTTTACCTGTTTCACTTGATGGATGATGTCTCATTTTTTCACCTTCCAACCTTTGGATTTCATTAAAATACGCCTGTGCTTCATCTTGATATCTTCGCCGGTTTTGAAATACAGCATAATGCTTTTTAGCGTTATGGTATTCTAATTGTTCCTTCATTTCTTTCAGATATGTATAATTTGGTTGATGTGCTTTGTTGTCTCCTTCGCAATAGGAATTGACGCTTGGTTTAAGCTTCTTTTTAGGTTTTGTTGTGAGATTATAAAATGTGTTTGATGTTGGTAATTTACCTGCTTTGCCAGTCTTTGTAAGTGTTGGTTTTATATTTTCAAAATCTGACTTGTTCATATAATAATAATTAGGTTGTAAATTTGTTTATCACATAATTTTTTCTACTAATTTATTAATATGTTCTTGCTTCTTTTGCAACTTTTGTGTTTTCATATTATTGTATCTATCTTTCGCAGTCAGCAGTTGTTTCCAAATGCCTTTTCAATCGTTCTTCAACTCTTCTTTCTATTTCTTGTTCATCGACTTTAATATTATTTTTGACTTTACTATACACATTGTTTTCCAATTCTTTTGCTTGTTCAGGATGCATAAGTTCTCTACCAACAACTTTGTTAGGGTGTGATTCTTTTCAAACTGGTGTTCCATTACAGCTATGACGATGTTAAATATTTTTTACACTTCGGCCACTCTACCTTTTCCGTCGAGTATGTTTTAGATTTTAATTCTTGCTTTGGTTCTTCTTCTACTCTATTATCAAGTCGTATCAGGTCGTATATGTTCTTTACTATTTTCCTGATTTATAATATTATTTGTTTCTACTTCTTTGCTTTCTACTTTATTAGTCGGTTCTTCTTCTTCTTTCTTCTATTTCCTCAGGCGCTTCATTCTTTTCACGCCTACATCTACTATTTCAATATTTTTAACCATATAATTCGTGCAAAATAATTCTTTTAAACCCTCAAGAAAGGTAGAGAAGGACGAATCTGCACCGTGTAAATCTACAGTTTTTCCATACGCATCAACATGTGTGAAATGAAGACGACACAAATGTCTCATTGAAACATCATTAGCATCATTCATTAAAATCTCTTTTTTCTAGATTACATTTCCAAATCCAGCAGTAATAGGAGTTTTTCGAAGGACACGAGCAACTCCATAAGGTGCTAATTGGTTTCCATTAGTTCAACTGTCGCTGGTTAAGTAAATATTTTTGACTGGCAGAAAGTTAGCAAAACCGCTAACAAAAGGGTCGGGGGCATAGTTTGTTTTTTAAACAGTGTTTCCTAAAACGTTGTTAATATTGTATGGCTTCTATCATAACTAACACCAAAACCATAGTTAGCTTGCAATTCTTTATCCGTATGAATTATGTAAAAGTAAGCAACATAATTACAACTTATAGTTATAGTATTTGCTTTTAATGAACAACTACAACTAAAATAGTCATTATTTCCATCAGTTCCGTTAGTGGCAGTATTCAATTCAAATTGTAATTCAGTTGCTAATTCACTACCTACATAACTACCTTTATCAGGTGCAACAATGAAATAATAAACGGGTGCTCCTCCTGTTGTTCCACCTAATGTTAAATATAATCTGTTATTCACATTTTCTTCAATGGGATAAACAGTATTAGGTATTGATAATTCGTGAACATATAGTTTTGTATTTGTTCCTGTTTCTTGGGTGTCTGGTAAATCTATAATAAAGTCAGAAGTGCGCACACTTTCATACAGATTTCTATGTCATGTGTCAATATTTTTTTTTACGAAAGTTCATTTTTTAACCCATTAGACGAAAATTATCTAATTAATTAAGCAGATTTTTAAAGAAAACATCATTAATCAATTAGAAAATTTATAATTTAGTTATATATGAAGCAAATAGGTATTATTTAAGACAAGGAAAAATAAAATCATACAACCCAGGTCGTAGTGAAATGTATGGGAAAATAGTTAATGAAATTCAACAAGAGAAGTCATTATGCAATCCGAAATATAATAATTTTTCTGACACAGAAGGATTAAACAAATCATATACAAATGGTAAAGGTTATTATTTAGGCAACAATAAACTATATGTTGCTGGGACATTTGGTAAGAATAAACTTTTATCTATATTTAATGACATTGCTTCTGGTATTACAATTCCATTTGGTTTAAGTTCATACAGTGAAAGGTATAGAGATATTAGTGACACACTTGATGAAAGCCATAGTATAATTGAAGTGATTAGTCATAGTCTTGGAGCATCCGCTTCTTCTAAATATTTTCACAAAATATCCTTGATAGAAATATTCGTTTGACAACTTACGGCGCTCCGTTTGTTTCATTGTCAAACAAAGATAATGACAACGACGCAAGCCTACGAAATTTTGGAGATATGGTCAGTGTTTTAGATAGAGGCAGTGTAACAACAAATAGAGGTGGTTTTAACCCATTAACAAATCATCAGCACTCATTATACGGTGATTCTGGCAAAGATGTATCAAGAAGTATTGAGCCTGGAAATGTATAATGCCTAATAATGATATAAAAACGCTATAAATCCTAAAAAGAGAATCAGCTATGATGACATTCAAAAGATTGTAGAAGATGAGCCTAATTATAAGATTAAAAAACATGGAAACATTAAGTGTTGAAGATGCTTTGTTTGAAACGAATTTAAGATTTAGATTAAAAGAGGGTGGTTCTTCTGTCCGTTCAAAAGAAAGTAAAAACTTTTATCCTTCGTCGGTGTTTACTTATACCGCTGATACTTTTTTTATTTTGGTTTAACATCACTGGACCACCCTTCTAACAGTTGGGCAATAAAAAAGCCAGTTTTCAAAGCAAATGTTTATTCTCTTGATGATAGCTTATGCGCAGAATATGCTAAATTCTTGGAAAGCGGTTCTCTTCCAATAACTTTTGAAACTGAAACAATGCAAGAGCAAACCGCATCATCATCTACTGAAATCTTCGCAACAATCGTCAGGAATGTATCTAAACTAAATAAACTGTCATTTTCAAATACAACAAGTACAGGTTATGTAGGAGGATTTGGTGAAATTCTTAAGGAATACAACTCACTATATCATCCATTAGCACATCAAGGTAGTGCAGTTGATTCTGGATATTATGGCCCTATGTGTGATTTAACTGCTTCATTTGGTAATTGGTCATCAAGTTATTATTCCATGACAAGAAATTCAAGGTGTTCGTGAAGCATATGTCCATTTGATGCATTGTGCTGAAAACCCACTATTAGTTAGAAGCGAGGACTCTAAAACACAAGCATTTATGTTTGGGTTTAATGTACAGAAGTTAGAATCAGCGGCGCATACTGGAAAAAGCAATAAAAATAGTTTAACTATGGTAGTCAAAATTCAACCACTTGATGGAACTACTTTATATAGTAGCAATTTTATGCCTATGAGGATGTATATTCATATGGTGCACGAGTGCATACTTGAAATCTGTTCAAATTCTATAACCTTTTACGATTTAAAAAAGTATGATATTCTTCATTTTCTAACTAATATTCTAATATTATGGACCAAAACTTAATGAATATCTTTGATACTGTGGGTGGACGAATTTCTGCACCGCTTTGAAACCATAGCAAACCATTGTTCGTTGGTATTTACAGGGGAAGCATCACCCCAGGGTGTTTTAAGTGGTGCAGGATTTCGTTCATCCACAGATTACTGCGAGATCAACTAGACAAGTAAAAGATGGAGCAGTCAGTGATATAGAAGACTTTTACGCAAGTAAACCTGACATTCAGACAGTATTAGGCAGTAAAGCAGACCAAGCAGACACATACACAAAGGAACAGATAAATGCTAACTTTTATGATATAACTGAAACATATAGTAAAACAGAAATTAACGTATTATCAAGTAGTATTTGTTCAAATGCTTATTTCATTATGAACAAAACGTCAGCCGTAGCAAGTAGCTTAGTTAATGTTTCATCAAATACACTTTTTCTATGTAATTCAACAATAACCTCAAACGCAAATTTTTATAGTATTTCATGAAACACAAACTTAATAAATAATTGAATGTCTACTATGACATCTAATTTGAATAATATTAGTTCTAAATCGAATTTAATCAAAACACATATTAACAATTTTTCATCAAATACAGATTTAATAAATAATTTGAACTGTAGTATGACACCTAATTTTGATAATTTTAGTTCTAATTCTATTTTAATACAGGATTAAATAGCACAATCTATTTTTCGTATTACAACAATATCAGATTCACAGAATGGAGGTTCATTTAATGACAATAGCAACTAATAATTTGTTAACAAATAAGTTAGATACATCAATATTTAGTAATACATTAGTACATGATACAACAACTACTGCAACATTTATAGTAGAATTCGGAAGTTATAATATTTTTTTGAAATGTATAATACTTATTTTGAGTTATGTTTATGGTAGTTTGACTGGCGCAACAGTGATGTTGAACCAAAGAGGTCTTGGTGATGTAGAAATTAACATTTCTTCGAATAGTATTAAATCATAATACTACAGTATT